CCTGCTGACATCACTGTCCTCCACTGCCAGGTACACAAGCACATGCGCACACATGTACATACTGTCATACCAGAAGTTTGACAGAAACCCAGTAAATATGCAAATGCTTAAATCTCTAAAGCTGGAATGGCTTGAAAAGACAAAGGGCTGTCTTACTGCATTGAAAAATAGCATCCCTTTAGTTTGTATCTTCAGGTGTTTTTACATTCCCTCGAGAGTGTGTGTATGCAAGTGTGGTAGAGGCAACAGGGACAGGTAAATTTTGGTTTGTTTGCTTTTAAAGCCTGAGACTCCTGAAGAGCAGTTTGAGAGCAGGAGAGGGAAGCTTGCTTCAAAAACATTCAGTAAGATAATGCTTTTGTAGTACAAATTAGTTGAAAGATATTTCACTTTCTGTGTTTCTGGAGTGGCTAATTCTTGCTTTGATGTTGCCTGCTAGAAGATACTGCTGAAAATAGAATGGGTTGTTCACTGTTTTGACCTTTTTCTTTCTTTCTTTTTTGGTTCCTTTCCACCTTTATTGCATGGAAAAACACCCAAAAATCAAAAGGCTGATGATACCTGTTATAGGTGCTTTCAGGATTCAGTTGTACCAATCTCGGAGGACTGTGGACAACTATTGATGACTTTTAGGAGGTTTTTTGATTAGTTCAGACAATAGGCATTTTTCTATTAGTCCTCCTCAATTTATACAATTGAGTTTCAGAGGAGATAATTTGGTTTGGGGTTTCTTCTTTTATAGGGCCCCAAAATTGTTCCCACAGCATCAGTTAAGGCTTCAAGTTTCCTTTTGCTTCATTCTTGAATTTCTTGCTCATTTACTGTGTTGCAGCAGAAGTGGTAGTACTGAATTGTAGCTTGATCTGTAAAACTTCATTCAGTTACAAAGAAACACATCTTAGGTATATAGTAGAATTAATTTCTAGCCATTGTCTGAACTGCTTTTATATCTGAACTTTTCCACATGAATAAAGTTTCGAATCAAGAGATGTCAGTGTTAGGAGCAAGCCTTTTAAGTAACAATACAATGAATAAATTGCTCTTTTTCTTCTTCTAACCTTGTATTTAAATGTGGTTTAAGTGAATGGAGTTCATTCTTGTTAAAAAAAAAAAAAAAAGCTTGGAGGCATAAGGACTTCAGGTTGTGCTCTTGCTTTGCCTAGGTTTCCTGTTCTGTTGCATGACACAACTTCTGTTGTGCTGTTGATATGTAGCACTTTTCAGTAGGTCTGTTAAATTGTGCAATGCATTTTTTATATTTACAACCAAAACAATAAAGGTTATTTTTTGGAAGAAACTGGTTGTAATGGCTGTATTTTGTAACTGGATGTGGGGAAATGGTAAGTGGAATTGTTCCTGGACCAGGACCAGCACCTGCCATCCCTTTTTTTTTTTTTTTTTTTTTTTTCTTTTCAACTCTTGAAAG